TTCAGGGTGAATGGACACTTAGGTTTCTTCCCCCTTAGAGAAGAGTAGGCCAGTGAGTGCCCCAGGTCAGTGGGTGACAGGCGCTTGTGTTAATAATTAACACTTTATTATTGAGTAGAGAGGCCAGTAAGCACCCTGGGTCACTAGATAATAGGCGTTTGTGTTAATAATTAATACTTTGTTATTTAATAGAGAGGCCAGTAAGCACTTCAGGTCATGAGATGATTAGCGCTTTTGTTATTTTAATAATTATTTATTCAACAGAGTGGCCAGTAAGCACTTCAGGTCATCGAGTGATAGGCGCTTGTGTTGTTAATATTACAATTTTTAATTTCCGCGTGTCTTTAGCAATGCCCCTATACTGCTGTGCTGTCTGCTCGACAGAATATTCTCCTTAGATCGTATAGCTATACATACGATTCAGGGAAAAAGTTCCGATATAGAATCCGCCTAACCCAACGCTGATGAGGTATGGCCTTCCAAGATCTTATTTTCGTGCCGTTCAGCCCAGTTCTGCGCCTTCCATCACGACCAGCGTTGGGTTAGGCGGATTCAATATCGGAACTTTTTCCCTAGATCGTATATATAGCTATACGATCTAGGGAGAATGTTCCGTCGAGCAGGCAGCACAGCAGTGAAGGGATATTGCCAAAGATGCGCGAAAATTAAAAATTGTAATACTACAACACAAGTGCCTATCACCCAATGACCCGAGGCGCTAACCGGCCTCTCTATTAACTAATAAAGTATTAATTATTAACACAAGCGCCTATCACCCGATGTCCTGGGGTACTTACTGGCCTCTTGATTACATAATAAAGTATTAATTATTAACACAAGCGCCTATCACCCGATGTCCTGGGGTACTTACTGGCCTCTCTATTAAATAATAAAGTATTAATTATTAACACAAGTGCTTATCACCCAATGACCCGGGGATCTTACTTATCACTTTATTAAACGATATATATTATTGATAAATAAAACAAGCGCCTGTCACCCAATGACCCAGATTTCTTACTTGCCACTGTAGATATTAATAAAAGGTTAATTAATAACCCAAGGACCTATTACCAAGTGACCCGGGGTGCTTACTAGTCGATTTATTTCACGAATATATTATTAATTTATAGCACATGCGCCTGTCACCCGATGACCCAGGGCGCTTACGGGCCTCTCTATTGAATAATAAAATATTAATTATTAACACCACCGCCGATCACCCGATGACCTGGGGTGCTTACTGGTCGCTTTATAAAACGAAATATATTATTTATTAAAAGCACCAGCGCCTATTATCCGATGACCCGGGGTGCTTACTGGTCGCTTTATTAAACGATGTGCATTATTAATTCATAGCACAACAGTCATCAGGTAATAGGTGCTTGTGCTGTTTATTAATATTTTATGATTTAATAAAGAGGCTAGTAAGCACCCTGGGTCATCAGGTACTAGGCGTTTGTTTGTGTTAATAATTAATATTTTATTATTTAACAGAGTGGCCCGTAAGCACTTTGGGTCATCGGGTAATAGGCGCTTGTGCTAATAATTAAATTTTCATTATTTAACAGAGTGGCCAGTAAGCACCCTGGGTCATCGGGTGATAGGCGCTTGTGTTAATAATTAATACTTTATTATTTAGTAGAGAGGCCAGTAAGCACCCCGGATCACTAGATACTAGGCGTTTGTGTTAATAATTAATATTTTATTATTTAACAGAGTGGCCCGTAAGCACTTTGGGTCATCGGGTAATAGGCGCTTGTGCTACAAATTAATATTATATATCGTTCAATAAAGCGACCAGTAAGCGCTCCGGCTCACTTGGTGATAGGCCCTTGGGTTATTTATTAACCTTTTATGAATTTATATAGTGGCAATTAAGCACCCTGGGTCATTGGGTGACAGGCGCATATGTTATTAATCAATAATATATATCGTTTAATAAAGCGACCAGTGAGCGCCCCAGGTCATCGGGTGATAGGCGCTTGTGTTAATAATTAATATTTTATTATTTAATAGAGAGGCCAGTAAGCGCCCTGGGTCATCGGGTGATAGGCGCTTGTGTTAATAATTAATACTTTATTATTTAATAGAGAGGCCAGTTAGCGCCCAGGGTCATTGGGTGATAGGCGTTTGTGTTAATAATTAATTCTTTATTAATTAATAGAGAGGCCAGTTAGCGCCTAGGGTCATTGAGTGATAGGCGTTTGTGTTAATAATTAATGTTTTATTATTTAATAGAGAGGTCAGTAAGCGCCCTGGGTCATCGGGTGACAGGCGCTTGTGCTATAAATTAATAATATATCGTTAAATAAAGTGACCAGTGACCGCCCCAGGTCATTGGTCGATAGGCGCTTGTGTTAATAATGAATACTTTATTATTTAGTAGAGAGGCCAGTAAGCACCCCGGATCACTAGATACTAGGCGTTTGTGTTAATAATTAATATTTTATTATTTAACAGAGTGGCCCGTAAGCACTTTGGGTCATCGGGTAATAGGCGCTTGTGCTACAAATTAATATTATATATCGTTCAATAAAGCGACCAGTAAGCGCTCCGGCTCACTTGGTGATAGGCCCTTGGGTTATTTATTAACCTTTTATGAATTTATATAGTGGCAATTAAGCACCCTGGGTCATTGGGTGACAGGCGCATATGTTATTAATCAATAATATATATCGTTTAATAAAGCGACCAGTGAGCGCCCCAGGTCATCGGGTGATAGGCGCTTGTGTTAATAATTAATATTTTATTATATAATAGTGTAGCCAGTTAGCGCCTCGGGTCATTGGGTAATAGGAGATTGTGCTATTAGTTAATATTTTATTATTTCACAGAGTGGCCAGTAAGCACCCCGGGTCATCGGGTGATTGGTGCTTGTGCTATTGTTAATACTTTATTTTTTAATAAAGCGACTAGTAAGCGCCCTAGGTTATCGAATGATAGGCGTTTGTGTTAATAATTTATACTTTATTATTTAATAGAGAGGCCAGTAAGGGCCCTGGGTCACTAGGTGATAGGCGTTTGTGTTAATAATCAATACTTTATCATTTAATAGAGAGGCCAGATAGCGCCCCGAGTCATTGGGTGATAGGCACTTGTGTTATAGTATTACGATTTTTATTTTTCGCGCGTTTTTGGCAACGCACCTTCACTGCTGTGCTGTCTGCTTGACGGAACATTCTCTCTAGGTTGTATATAGCTATACGATATAAAAAGTTCTGATTTTGAATCCGCCTAACCCAACGCTGCCGCGTTAGCAATCTCTCTACTCATCTCTGGCTATAACTATAACTTTTACATAAGCTTTGACTCATACACGTACCTTCCCAAAGCCATAAACCCTCATGCGAGCTCCTACTCATTAGTTTTTCTGCACGTACTTTCCTAAAAACTCTCATGTAAGCTTTGACTCAGTCACATTCCTGCACGTTCCTTCCAAAAAGGGCCGCAAGCCCTCGCACAAACTCCGACTCATTTGCATTTCCTCCGCCATACCCATATTCCTAGAAACTGCACGCAGGTTGTGTCAACTTCGCACCCAGCCTTTCCAGGTCAACAATGTGCGGCCCGCACCCTAAAGCGAACATGCAAGCTTGCAAGCTGACGCATAGTTCCTAGGACCCATACGATCTGCTGAACCAACACGCGAGACCCATATCACCGGACCTGGAGAAGCGTATAAAAGAGACGGACACCAGGAAGCAGGCCGATAGTCGAATTTTGAGGCTAGACTGCTGTAGAGCTCGCGACGCTTAATTTGGCGCTCCCCTTCAAACCAAAAAGCACGTACGCCTCTGTATACTTTCTACGCTTAGCCAGGGTAGTCCGAAAGTCAAAAACGGTTTCCTAGGCCCAGGTTGATAACCTAGACATTATCTTTACGAGTTCTTGGATGAGAAGAGCTTCCCACCAAGGGACCTAACAACAGCCTGAGTACCAGCTAGGAGCTTACAAGCACCTAGAGACCAACTTCCAGAGCAGTAGAGACCTATTCCTGACCGTGGCCTGGCACTTTCGTGCCTCACCCTTACCGGGTAACGAACCCACTCGAACAACGCCATGTGTTGGATGAAGAACGTCACCAACAACTTCGTACTCTATGCCCAGCCCAAGGACCAGGTCATACTCATAACACTCATCCCCACCTGAAAAAGAAAGACGGAATTCCATATGTGATTGCTTCTGTTCTACCTTCAGGAAAGCCATGTGGCATAACATATGATTTTACGTATGGCATTACATAAGGGGTTTTAGCTTGGTAATGCCATATATGTAATTCCATTTGAAAAAACACATAGAATTACAAATTGGAAAAAGGAAAAAAATTTTGCCATCTAGAAATAACTGCAGAATACTGTAATGCATCATTTACTGTGAACAATTAGTGTTACCATCTGCATGAGAACTCGAAAACAAGAGGATTCAAGTTATATTTCAGAAAAAAAAAAAAAATTAAAAAATTCAATGTTTTCTGTAGAAGTTAAATCAGCTGAACCCCCTTGTTTTAGAGTTATCATCCCGATGGTAAAACAAAGTTTTAATTGCAAATAACTTATTGTGGTATTTTGCAGTTATTTCTAGATGATAGAAATTTTTTCTTTTTTCCAATTAGTAATTCCATATGGCTTTCCTGAAAGTTTTACAGAAGTAATTCTACATAGAATTCCGACATTTTTTTTCAGGTGGGTCTCTATACCCATCTCTGCTCGGGTTAGCTCAAAGCAGTCGGAGCAAGAACAAAAGGATCAGTTGGTGTTTAGCTTATAGAGATATACTCATAGACATATAAGAAATAAAGAATGCTCATTCTTATGTACGGCACTGAAGCACAAGTAAAAAGAGACACAATATTGAACGTGGGCATCTGTCTCTCTCGTACATTTCCACGTTCGATGTTGTGTCTCCTTTTACTTGTTCTTCACCGGCGTACGTAAGAATGAGCAGTCTACATATTTTTATATGTCTATGGATATAATACATAAAGTAAGCAAGGATATAGTCTGTTTGTTTGTGTTTATAAGTAATTTAAATGACAAGAAAACGAAAAAAAGCACAAAATATTTGGACATCAGAAGTAAAGGATGTATGTCTAAAAAAATCTATATTTATTCTTGAGAAATCTAAATTTTTCATGATTATCTTTCTACCACAGATTGAGAATCATGTTTTGGATACACAGGTTACCAAAGCGTCACGGTTCAATATACAACTTGAAAAACTATTCTCAACTTAACACAAAAAACAAGGTTAGTGATGTAAGCCAACACAAAGTAAGGTATAATGAGATTAATCTTCAAATGTTGCCTAAAAAACTTTATGAGCATATCTTTGGAATGGACATTGATAAGAAAAATTATCAGTCTAATGATGTTCTGTTAATAAAGGAAGAGTTAGCTAAGTTTGGTCTTAACGCTGAACGTACTCCTGAAATTCCCGAAGTAAATGTATCACTTCCTTCACTTCAAGGCCATAACATAGAGGATCACTTTCGAAATATTGCTCAGGATCAAGTGCAACCCTATCAAGTTGCCATCAGTCAATTGCTTAATAAAGACTTGCCTGCAATACCAAAAAACTTCGTATTTAAAGAGGGGTGGACACGTTACACAGAGTCAGGTCCTGAAACTGTAGAATTTCCATTAGAAAATGGATTGGTGTTTGACGTTGAAGTGTGTGTGAAGGATGGACCATTGCCAGTTTTAGCAACGGCTGTCAGTCCATTTGCATGGTATAGTTGGGTTTCTAAACACCTTGTAGAGGAAATCCACAATACAAGTTTTATGAAAAAAACTTTGAAGACAGATCTTTTAATTCCCTTGGAAAGTTTAAAGAGCAACAATGACACTTATTTAAGTAAGTTTCAATTAACACCTAAAATTGTAGTAGGTCACAATGTTTCTTTCGATCGAATTCGAGTAAGAGAACAATATTGGTTAACTAAAAGTGCTACTAGATTTTTAGACACAATGGCATTACATATTTCTGTTAGCGGCACTAGTAGTTATCAACGTTTACTTTTAAAGTCAAAACGTTCTAAGCAAAACGATGACAATTTACATTCTCTTTCCTCTCTAAATAATTTGGCTGATGTATACAGATTATACTGTGGAGAAATTTTGGATAAAAGCAAAAGAGATATTTTTATAAATGGTAATTTAAATGAAATTAAAAAAAATTTTCATGACTCAATCTTGTACTGTGCCTTGGATGTTGTGGCAACTTACAAAGTCCTGAAAAAAGTATACCCCATATTTGAAAAACGATTTCCACATCCTGCAACATTGGCTGGTATGTTAGAGCTAGGCTTAGCATATCTACCAGTTAATCGTAATTGGCTAAGGTATTTAAAAGAAGCAGAAACCACTTATGAGGATTTACAGCGGGAAAGTAAAATTTGTTTGTCTAAAAAAGCAGATCAAGAGTGTAGATTATTAATTGCTAAAGAGTATACCACTGACCCTTGGATGTGGGATGAAGATTGGACCACCAGAAATTTAAACATGAAAAAAGGATATAAAAAAGTTTTCAACAATCAATGTAAAGTTTGTAATGACTGCACTAAAAACGATACATCAGTGAATCTAGGAAATAAATTAAATTACTTAAAGGATACCAAAAATTACTTACCAAAGAGAATACCTCACATGGCTGGTTATCCTAATTGGTATCGTAAACTTTGTCAGAAGCCTGAAAGAAACTCGAATACATTTCCAAAAGTCCAAAATATAAGTACCTCAATGCAAATAACGCCAAAAATTTTAAACCTAACGTGGGAAAATTATCCACTTCATTACGTGAAAGAACAAGGATGGGGATTTCTAATTCCACATACACCAAATAAAAATACAAAATTACCTCTTAAACAAATATCTACTTTAAAACATCTTAATAATTCATTTTTATTGTCATCATCCTTTAATGAAGATTCATCTTTACTTGTCGGTATAAAGTCTAATTACTCATTAAATGCAAATCTAGATGAGTGTTGCTACTTTTTCAAATTGCCTCATAAAAACGGAGACCACTTTAATGTAGGAAATCCTCTAGCAAAAGATTTTATTAATAAATTTTCGGAAAACATTCTTGCTGGTGCTGATACAAGTGCTACGCGAGTTCTTAACATTTCAAAAGTGTGCTCTTACTGGAAAAACCATCGAGATCGTATTATTTCGCAACTCGTAGTTTGGTGCAACATCATTTCAAGTAACAGCAATTGTCAGCAGCGTCATTATCCTTATCACGATCCATTCAGTAGCAATCACAGTTACAGCTGTAATGAAGACTCAAAAAAATTGGGCAGCAAACAAATTTTCGACTTGGGGGCGATAATTCCGCAAGTTGTGGTTGCGGGTACTCTTACTCGACGGGCTGTGGAGCCCGCGTGGATGACTGCTTCGAATGCCAGTAGCGAGCGCATAGGCTCAGAACTGCGAGCCATGATAAACGCACCCCCTGGCTATAGTATTGTAGGTGCGGACGTCGATAGTCAAGAACTTTGGATTGCCTCAGTTATTGGAGACGCATCTGCTGCAGGTCCAAAGATCCAAGGTGCAACACCCTTCAGCTGGATGACACTAATCGGAAACAAAGTCCAGGGAACTGATATGCATAGTATGACCGCCAAGGCGATCGGCATCTCTCGAGACCAAGCCAAAATTATCAACTATGCCCGAATCTATGGGGCTGGACGGATCTTTGCCGAAAGGCTGCTGAAGCAATTCAACCCAACGATCAGTGACAAAGAGGCTTCATCAAAGGCCAGGAAGATGTTCTCTTTGACCAAAGGCCAAAAACTTTACCGCCTCAACGTTGTGTCCCGACAACTAGTAGAAAAACAATATCAGCTGCAGCTCTATACAGCCCGTGAGTCATTCCAGCTAGCTCAACTACTCAATAAGCCAAGAAATGAGCTATTCGAACGGCCCCGTTGGGTCGGCGGTTCCGAGTCTATCATGTTCAACAGTCTGGAGGAGATAGCTGGAGGATCAAGACCCGCCACACCATTTCTCAACTCGCGGTTGAGTAGAGCTCTAGAACTGGACAGTGACGACAAAAACTTACCAACCAAAATCAATTGGGTAGTCCAGAGCTCTGCAGTTGACTTCCTTCACCTAACTCTGGTCTGTATGCGATGGCTAATGAAAGACAAGATTAGTCTTTGCCTCACCTTCCACGACGAAGTACGTTATATAGTACCCGACGCGTACAAGTACAATGCAGCTCTAGCAATGCACGTAACAAATTTGCTCGTCCGCTGCTTTTTTGTCTCAAAGTTAAAGATGAAAGACTTACCCGCATCCATCGCTTTTTACACTAGTGTCGAGGTTGACTCCGTTCTTCGCAAAGAAGCAACCCATGATTGCGCGACTCCATCTAATCCTCATGGCCTTAAAGAGGGCTACGGCGTTGAGAACGGAGAAAGCCTTGACATCTGGGCTGCAATAGACAAAAGCAAGGGTTGGGTCGGATTGTTTGCACCTACCTGCAACTAAAGTACTCGTATTCTTGTTTATGTTCAAGAATATTTTCTAGATCTTTTAACAGCATAGAAAAATAATATATTTCATCACATTATGTCCATACTCTTGTAAAATCATCTTTTTACAATTACATAATAAACAATTTTATAACCTACTAATAAAAATAAATTTATTAATTATAAAATCATACTGAAAATATTGACTACAGGTAGTACGTGTCCTTACCATATAAATCTTATAAGTGCTCTATTCTAATAAATAAAAATGTTTTTAACTGCGTTTTCTAATCTGTATTTGAACTCGCTTTTCCGAATAAAGTTCAATAGAAATTTCATTTAATTTCATTTTATTTTAAAATGAATAACCCTAACAAAAAATTGTTGGTAGATCTGGTGAGAGATTTTACACAAGCAGATTGATTTCAAACATTTATTGATTTGTACAAAATAAAATTAATTTTGAAAATAAAGTACACATTTTTATTGTATACTATTTAGTCATGAAAACATGTTTTATGCATAGAAGTAGTGAGAAGCAATTTTTATTGGTTACCATTAGACTTTTCAAATCACAATTATGGGGAAAGAGCAGAAGAGAAGTAAGTGTACCTAAGTACCTAGATTTGTTCATTCATATAACTTGGAGAGCTCGGAGTACTCTAAAAATCTATAATAAATGTATCGAACGTATGACATTCAATAGGTATACATTACAAGCACTGCGAGCTAGATAGAGGATAAATCCAGTATCTTCTATCTTACATATGATTATTGAGGAGTTTATCGATAATAAGGAGCTAAGTGAGTCAGAGCATATTGTAAAATTGATCTTAGATTTAGTGAGTGTATAGTCTAAAACAAGGTTTATAGCTGAAAGCACGTTTGATAAGGCTACCCTGGTAGCACAATCTTACGCACTGGCAAGGCGTAAGTCTGCACCTGGTCTGCTTCCTGGATCTTATGTTATTCTGATGCATGGCAAGTGCATAAGACGCTTTGAGGCAGATTTGCGCAAGATGTGTCTACAGGCGAGTGCGCAAGACTCTTGCGTAAGAAGTGCACAAATCTGACGGTCAATCAAGTGCGCGTTATTATTTTTATTCATAAACTCCTTTTTGTTGGAGAATTTTGCAGAATTTTTGCAGGACAATAATTAATACAAGCTGTTTTTACCACGGTTTTGACTTATTTTGCTTGTAATAACTTGTTTGTTACGTTTTTGCTCGTGCGGAAATTGTGAAGACATTTCTCAAGTAAGATTTTAACATCAAAATTTTTTTGAGATTTTTCAACAAGGTTGTGGGAGACATTTATTTTTGTGTATTGACATTTTTTTATGTACAATCGGTATCTCAAAATTATAAATTACCTTTATATAAGAAAAAATATTNCCTTTATAGTATTAGAAATAAAAATAGTTTTAAAAAATGTATGTACATGTGTGCGTATGAATGTATGTGTGTATATGTATGAGTATATGTATGGATCGGTCATGTCTCAGAGCCCTGTGGTCCGACTTCAATAATTTCGGGTTTAAGCTTATTGTTTTTAAAAACTTATATCGGCTCGAAAAAAATTTTAGTTTCGCACTTTATTAAGGTTGATGCTGTTCGTTTTCAATTTTTGACACGGTTTTTTACCTTAGTAATGGTCTAAACATTTTTTTTAGCTTTTAAAATTATTTTGATTTCTTGAGTATAGAATCAACACTATTTTATATTATCAATGCTTTTGAAAGTTTTTTTTATTACTTTGAATGTGTACAATACTAAGATTTTAAGATTTGTTGATGTGTCAGGAAAACAACTATAGAAAAACGTAGGAGCGGCGTTGGCTCAGTAGATAACGTACTTATTACTAATACAACGCGGTTTTAGAGGTCGTGGGTTCAATTCCCGGTGAATGCAGATTTTTTCAAAAACTGTTTTCATCAAGAAAAGTCCCTATGTAACCCCGGCTGTTTCGGGGCGGGTTTTTCCGTGGAATTTTCCTTTAGAGTAATTCCAGAGTTTTTTCCTTGCCCCACAGGTCTTCGGGCCTGGGAGAATGCGAAACAGTGTTAGGGCTATAGGTAGGGATTAGCAGATCAGATGTCAGGAGTCGGGCAGGGATCGCTGGCCTTACCAGCGAGGAGTGGTCCCTGAATCATGGGGCTTCTCTGGAGATACTAATTAGCCTGGATCCGATGCTTCGGCAGAGAGCGCCGGCTTAAGGAGGCTTGGGCGATTTTGAATTATTTATTTATTTATTTCATACTCCGTCCCTTACGGGTTTAGAGGGGTTCCGTAATATTTTTGTACATTTAATACATACTTAATCTATGCTATATAATATATTCATTTTTAATTCAACTATTCTTAATATTCTACCTTTGTCTCTTGTTAAAATAATATTGAAATAAAACAAATTTAATATTACTACAATTCCAAATATACAAAACTCAATTCTCAAAATTCAAAATTAAACACATGCCTATCAAAAATTCGAAAATTTCCAACTTAATTATCAAAATTATCAAAATTTCTCATATTTAACTCAATAAATAAATTTTCTAATACTACTTAACTATCGAAAATTTCAAAAATTAACAACTCTTTTCTTTAAATTGTCCATATATTTTCTTGTATTCTTCATTCTTCCTTGCATTTCTTTTTCTCTCTTCTCTCTTGTCCTACTAATCCTTCTTCTCTCTTTACTACCTTAACTTTCTGCATAATTTCTTTTATCTTTTAGATCTTTTCTGACTCCTTCCTTTTTCTGATTACTTTTCTTAGCACTTCTATCTCTTTTGCATCATGGCTTAGTATTTTTTCCATTTCTTCTTCATTTCTCGTATCTCCTTAAATCTTTAGTATGTGTCTAAGATCTTCTTCTTCCTCCTTGCATAATCTACACTTCTTATCCTCCTCTCCTTTCCAGTATTCTCTACTTATACATTCATTTCCGCATCTAAACCTTGCTACTAACTTTCTATCCTTTGATGGCATGTCCTTTTTCAAGTATTCTGGTTCAGCTTCTGTTCTTATACCTTTATATATTCTGTTGTACCGCAAATTCTCTATCTTTTCCATTCTCCTCTCTTTTTCTTTTCTTTCCTTGTTCATTAATATTTTTTCTCTTACTTCCTCCCTAAATTCTACTCCTTTCATAAATCTTGTTTCTTTTACTTTCTCTTCCCGTAGTAATTCAGCTCTCTTTTTTGAGTCCTTTCCTATTCTCTCTCTTTCCTTGTCCTTGTCCTTTTCTCTTATGCATTCTTTTACTAATTTTATGTCTGACTCCCTAATTTTCTCTTCAAACTTTAACGCTCTCCTTAACGCTTTTATACTCATCCTTTCTAATCTACACTCCTCCTCCACTATATAATTTGGTGTATTGCTGTCTAATCCTAATATCCATTTCATATATCTTCTCTGTACACTTTCTAGTCTTTCTTCTTCTTCCCAGCCCCACACTTCCGCACCAAATAGCGCTATACTTTCTACTAGGGCTGTAAATAATTTTCTTCTTCTTTTATAGCTATTCTTAAATATTCTTTCTCCTATGCTCCATGCATTTTTCATAGCTATCACTGCTTTCCTTTTCCTTTCTTCTATATGCCTATCGTTTCTCCCATTTTTCTGTAGTATATATCCTAAATATCTTATTTCATTTACTTCTTCTAATTCCTTACTTCCCCACTTCCACCTTCTATCATTCCTCTTTCTTTTTTCGAACACTAAAATTTTCGTTTTTT